GGTTCCTTTGCCAGTGTTCCACCTGTGTGCAGGATGCTGGTTGTGTCCTCAGAAAGCTCAGCTTCCATGTCAAAAAGCTTAGGGTTATTTTATTCCAGTACAGGAACTGAGTGGAAGAGCTTTTCAGAGTGGTGGATATATTCACAGATAAAGGACAGCTTTGGAAATGAGGAAATTATGCCCTGACTCCCAGAGATTAGAGAAGCCAATAGAAATCTGGGAATGACTGTGTGTGTGTGTGTGTGTGTGTGTGTGTGTGTGAATCACAGATGTATGTGTGAACACATAAATATGTAGTACACAAATGTGTGCTACAGATTCATAAGTTTTTCCCTAAATTGTAAGATTATGACTCAAAACATTTCTCTTTTCTAATAGTTCATTTTGTATTGTTACATATTTCAGAGTTCTAACAACATAATTCAGGGTAATTATTCTCTTATCAAGTTTTTCTTACATTTACTTAGCTTTGTCCACTTCACAACATGCTCAATAAGAGCAATGTGACTTCCAAGCCTACTTCAGGCCTGAATGTTTCTTGTGAGCCATGGTTTTGGGAAAGGAATCACTGTGCAAGGAGAGCCCCTGTACCCACAGGAGGTTATAACCATACAAGTCTGTGGAAAGGGAGGAATTTATGTAATCCTGGAGAGTTAAGACTAAAAATCCTGTCCTGGCAGCATCACTGTCCAGGTCCTCTAGGTTTGTGCATGGAGGCCATCTGTGCTTGGCAAACGTCATTGCAAGAGTTCTCTGTGGACCAAGAGTAGTGATTGGGCAGAGGATAATGGGTGGTTGGAGGGAAGCACAGCCTTTTGTGTAGAAAGAATGTTGGACCACAGTGCTGAAGTATGCTTGGCCCAATGATGTGGAGAGGCCATGGTCAAAGTGGATCCTAACCAGTCCTGACTGTCCCCCGGATATCAAACATCCCTAGATGTCCATGGATGGGATGAAATTAACCTTAGGAATAGACAAAAGCTGCAGCTTGTCCAGGCAGAGTTGACAACATCCCTTTCCTTCCTGCATGCAGCCTTGATTCTCTAAAGCGAGATTATGGAAGGAACCCAAGTCTGTATCTTGAAGAGAGTGATTGTTATGGTTCTAGTGCATGTTTTAGCTTAGAGGGAGTTGAGGTGACAGAGGAAACAGATGACTAGTCTTGACCTTCAGGACTTTCCTGATATGACACCACATGTGCTTCATAAATATGGAATCTTCTCTCTGCAGGTCTCCTGACACTTATTGGTTTTATGTCACATAAGGAATTACAGTGCAATGAGCTCCCCAGATATATTTCCTGCAGCTTCTGTGCCAGGCCAGGTGGATCCTGAGAGACTCCAGACAGTGCCTTTTCCAGGAGCAGTGATGCAACCTGCATCAATTTAATGAACCCGAGAGTCTATAAGAGCCACAGCAACTGTCCTGAGCCACTGTGGCACCACTGTAGAGGAGCAGACAGGCCAGCTCTGTAGTCAAGAAGAACTTTATACGGTTTAATGGTTAAGTTTGATGAACTTCCAAGAATTTGATTTTCCTGTTGTTCACCAGAGATTAGGAAGAAATGACTGTTAGCATTACAGCACTGACTCCTGTGCATTGCCTGCTATGGACCAGGAAGAGCTGCAGGGTGAGTTAGTCAGAAGGTTCCAGAACACCGCCATGCCATTGTAGTATCCAGAAGCAGGAGATGGTGGATCCTGGTAGGCTTTCACGCCAGGCTAAGGCACTGACAGCAGTCAGAGTGGTCTGCAGCTTTTATAGCGCCCACCTAAAGGGTTGCTACCCATTGTGCCTTATAGGTGAAATGAATCATCTGACCCTGCAAATACCCATGAGCATTTATACCCATAAATACCTTTCCTTCTCAAAGGAAAGTCCTTGAAATTAGTTTATTCTTTTACACTTGTGATCCTGAGATGGATGGGGTCTTGCTAGATTGCTGGGATCCCCTAAAGACAGCTTTCATAGTCTTCTACTACAAAGCATTTGTCTTCTTTTTACTGGTAATTATGGTTCTCACAAGTGCATCTCTCTAGAAAATGAGTTTGTCACTTCAAATTCAACACCACAGTGTCTCAGGTCACTGGCAGGCTGCATGCAAATTCTTTGACACATGGGTAACATTGGTAGCCTCAAGCCCAACTTCCAATGGTCCTTCACTCCATCTGAACCCTCTGAGCATGGACTTTATGGTATTCATTTCTGTCCTTCTCATTTCCTCAGTACCTCAGAGAGTCATCCTGTGCTGTTGACTGGTCCCATCTCACCTATAAACAGAGAACATCATTTCCTCCTTTTCTGCAACAGTGAGGATGTGAGAAAACAGAGAGAGAGAAAGTGAGAGAGAGAGAGAGAGAGAGAGAGAGAGAGAGATGTCCCTTGAGGCATATGAGACTTTGGAGAAGAAGGAAAACAAGTGATCCCAATAGAAGTCCCTGGCCATTCCATCCTGCACCTGCTTCGTGCTGAGACCCAGGGCTGGGTGAGTCTTGAGCACCTTCTGCAGGCCATGCCTGTCCCCTGCATGGAGGTTTGTGTCTGGGTTCAAACCAAATCCCCTTGCTATGTCTCCCACACAGTAATACACTGCTGGGTTTTTGGTCATCACAGAGCTCAGCTGCAGGGAGATCTTGTTCTTGGCTATTTCCACTGTCATGGTAACTCAGCTCTTCAGGGAGGGGTTGCAGTGAGTGTCCCCATCATTATAGATTCATTCTATTCTCTGTGGACCCTTCCCTGTGGGCTGATGGGTACAATTCCACAAGGGACCACTGATTGTGTTGGAGAATCCAGACAGCACAGGTGATGATCAAGGTCTGAGAGGGCTTCACCAGGTCAGGTCCTGACTGCTGCAGCTGCACTTGGGACAGGACACCTGGGGACAAGGAGAATCATCCCTGTCAGCCACCCCCTTCCTAAAGACCCATGTGTGAACTTGGGGTCACCCACCATGGGAGGCTCTCACCAGACACAGGAGAAGACACAACAGTCTCATCTTTTGGAACCACAGTCCTGCCTTCCTAGAAGTCTCAGCCCTGTGTGAGGAAAGAGCTGTGAGCTCCCACAGCTCGAGAGAATTTATCTTGGAGCCTGAATAATAATTTAGACATGGTAAGTCCTCTTATAATATATGGTGAAGACCTCAGGTCAGGATTCCTTTGGTCCTTGTGTACCTCTGTACAATGTCCATTCTCTTGCACTCAAGTGATGTTTGTGTCAGTATTTATAGACCACATGTCCCCAAATTATTTTTGGAAGCTAGTCAATTAATGTCTCTACACTGCTGAAATGATTTTTCAGTCTCTCTTGTCCTGTCTGCACTTTCTCTCTCAAAGGAATTTTCCTAAAAATACACATTGTGCAAATTTACTCCACTATCATGTTTTCCTCTTACTTGGCTATGAATACCAAACATTCTAAGAAAGGAATTTGTGACATGAGCTGATTTTATAGCAATGTGTAATTTTTCTAGGTGTTAACATGTCAGATTACATGTTCTAATTATTCCACCCCATATTAATCATGGTATTGCAGTGATGATATTCAGTAGATAGTATTAGACCCATGGTCATCAGTTCACTCTATATCAGCAGCAAGATTGCCTTAGACACACTGGCTCTGTCTGATTTATTCAGAGAAGGTTTGAAGAAGATGAAATTCCATGGACGTTGCAGTTTCAGCTCCTACACACTTCCAGGCTGCTCTCTCTGATGGTCAGCCATAAGTGCCTTGGGTCAAATGAGTTACCCCTGTCCTCTGCCTCATATCAGTAGTCACAGAAGATTGGGTGTCCATGCAGTTGCTGTCTCTGATTGTTAGCTATATGTGCTTTGGATTAACTGAATTCATATTGCACTGCCTCAATTGAGAGGTCACAGAAGACTTGGGTGTCCATCAACTCCTCTTACCAGGGAAGTAGGTGAGGAAGAAGGCTCTGTGACAGGTCAGAATAATACGAGTGCTTCTTCCACATCTCATTTTGAACAAAGCATTTTACCTTTCTTGGCTTAAGTTTACTTTTCTTTTCCTCATGTGTTGAAGTATGACAGACAGTGGGAGTTCCCTGGCTCATGGAGATTGGAGGGTTTCTTCAGCTTTCTCTGCAGTCTGCAAGAACCACACCTAAGTCCCAGGTCAAAGACTTCCACACTGGTTTTGAGAATAGAGACTACATTCTCCACTTTAAGGAGAAAAATGGAGAACAGGGAGAAGTCCGAAAGAAACTCAAGGAAATTTAAGTGGATTTGTTGAAACAGTCTGATCAGTCTTCAGTGTGCTGGGTCCATTTATGCATGGGGAATAGAGTGAGATTTAAATGCAGTCCTTTTATTTCCCTGGACCTGGATTACCTCTGTCCTGGACCCAGTATGAATTCCACAGACTTTCCTAATCATGGAATTCCATGGAGTTCTCTTTTCTCATGGGAAAACACTCAGTAGGATCCCCTGAGCATCCTTAGGATCTGGTTCTAGTGACCACAGCAGAGTAATTTCTGTTCCCATGAATGACACCTTAGCATTTGTGCAGGTGAAAATGTGTCTTTCTGTAAAAATAAATGTCTTTTTAAGTGCATAAAAAGAACAATTACAGTTTCATAGTAGTATTTTCATATGTATATATAATATATGTTGTTCATATAGTCTCCAATTATACCCTTTCCATTTCTCCATCACTTCTCCCTGATTTCATTCCCCTGTTTTGGGGAGACTCCCCTCCACTCTCATGTCATCTTTTATTTACTTTTTCCCCCCTAGATTCCACTTATGAGAATAAATAAGCAATTCTTATCTTTCTGAGTCTGGCTTTTATAACTTCCATGAATCTCTAGAGATAACATGTAAAGACAACATTTTCTAGTTTAGCAATATCAGTGGAAAGCACAGAAACAGGAACCAGAATCTCCTTTGGGAAACAGTCCTGTGGAGAGGAAGCCCTAGACCCTGACAGGAAACCATCTCTTAACCTCCCTCTGCACCTGCACATGGCTTACCCTGAGCTCAGTGTGTCCTGCGCGCCCCCTGCTGGTTGTGCGCATCCCTGCAGGGAGGTTTGTGCCTGGGCTCACACTGAAGTTCGCACACTGTGTCTTTTGCACAGTAATACGTGGCGGTGTCCTCGGCTCTCAGGCTGTTCATTTGCAGATACAGTGTATTCTTGTTATTGTCTCTGGAGATGGTGAATCTGCCCTTCACGGAGTCTGCATAACTTGTGCTACCACCATCATAACTAATGTATGAGAGCCACTCCAGTCCTTTCCCTGGAGCCTGGCGGACCCAGTACATGCTGTAATCATCGAATGTGAATCCAGAGGCTGCACAGGAGAGTTTCAGGGACCCTCCAGGCTTCACCAAGCCTCCCCCAGACTCCACCACCTGCACCTCACACTGAACACCTGCAAACATAGAGAATTCTTGTCAGGAAACTGTCACAAATACTGTTCCTCTCACTCATGTCCACTCACACATTCAGTATCTCCTGTTCTTTACAAGTCACCTTTTAAAATAGCAACAAGGAAAACCCAGCTCAGCCCCCACTCCATGGTGAGTGATCTGTGTTCAGTGCTGATAACTGAATCCAAGGCTGGCTCCTTTCCAGAGCTGCAGGTCAGGGCTGGGCTGGTTTTCATGAGCAGAAGGAGGCCTTATTTGCATGTCTTCCTGCTATATTAAAGGCTCTGTGTGGAAGTCTCAGAGAGGGCAGGGCCCAGTGCAGTTGTGAGAGTCCTAAAGGACATTTGTGAAATGTTTTCTCTTAATGTACCTTTGTTTTGCTAATGAGTTTGAAAACCCCATCTTGTTTCCTTTTCCATCCAAAGAGACAATTAGAGATAAGAGCCCTTTTGTATGTGCTTTGGGCTTCTGCAGCTCTCTCAGGATAGCCTGGCATGCTAGGGGCTCTTTAGGTCTACAGTATTCAAGGCAGAGACACCACACAGGTACATTATGCATTGCCCCTCTGTGGACTTGCAAAGTGTCCTTATTGCCACAGTTCTGTGGACACTGCTACAGTGACTCCCTACAGTGCCTCTTTTCTCAAAGTGAACAAGAAGATTGTCTCAGGCAAGGTCGTAAGACTTGAGAAATTGCTAATTAATCTATAAAAGTGAGCTCAGGGCCTAGACAAAGGGCCTCAGAGTATATGCTTAAACATTTTAAGAAGGGATTCTCAGGAGATTACAGGTTCAAAATGTCTCCCAGAAGGCTGCACATGGTGTGTGAGCTACAATGGCCCACTTTTGGAGTCAACTGGCCCCCTGAAGATACCCTAGATTTGCCCACTGTCAGGGTCATTTATCACATCATTATAGGAAGCCCTGTACATCCCGACCAGTTCCCCTATATTGATTCCTGGCTTCAGGTGGCTCAGGCCATGCCCCCTTAGGACCGATTCTGTGCCAACAAAAAGGGACAGAGCAGAGTATTCATGGCCCAGGTAATGAAGCCCAAAGATCAGAAGCTGACCAAACCTGTTCTGCAAAGGGATCCAGAAGATGAACTGCCTGTGCCCCCGCCATACATTCCCAGCACACTGCCACCATCAGAGCAGCCAGTGCCACCTCTCCCAGACAGCCTGCCACCTTCAGTGAGTCCCCCTCGGCCCCATCAGCAGCCTTCTAGCCCCGTGATGTCCCACACCCAGCCCTGGCTTGGAGTCCAAGTCCACAGCCCCTGCGCCCTCACCTTCCCTCATCCCAGGCACTGGCCACTAGGGCCAGGGCCCTACAAATGCTACTCTGTGAGATGCAAGGGGCCCAGCAGATTGGTGCTGATGACACAGTCTGGCCTCGATGCTCTATCCTCTATTACCAGCCTTTCAGTACAACTGACCTCTTAAATTGGAGGACCCACCCACCACTGTATTCAGAATAACCTCAGGACCTGGTCGACCTCTTAGAATCCATACTTCAGACCCACCAACCCACTTGGGATGCCTGCCAACAGATCCTCCTGTCATTTTTCAACACAGGAGAGTGACAGCGAATTCTGACAGAAGCTTATTGCTGGCTCCAATGGCAGGCCCCTGCAGGGACCTGAGATGCAGAAGCTTGGGCAAGAGAGGTGACCCCTGATGCTTGGCCTACCTGGGACTTCAATACAGCAGAAGGATGAGGAGTCCTCACTCAATATTGCACTGCCCTCCTACATTGGCTCACTGCTGGAGCTAAGAGATCTACCAACATGTCCCAAATTGTGGCAGTTATTCAGAAGCCAGAGGAAACAGTAACTGTTTTTTATGAGAAACTGTGTGTGAGGCCTTCCGGGTGTACGCTTCCTTCAGTTCGGAAGTGCCAGAACACCAGCAAATGGTTAATATGGTGTTTGTGGCCCAGTCATATGCCAACATTCACCAGAAACTTCAGGAACTTGAAGGTTTCAGCTGTTAAAAGTGGCAAATAAAGTTTTTGTAAACTGGAAACATGAGGGAAAATGAGAAGCTGATAAAATAATGAAAGCCAAGGTGTCCTTATTGGCTGCCAACACTGGGGAAGCCAGACCCAACCAAGCAGTCAGCTCTGCCATGCAAGGGGAGACCCAGTGGAAGAACCCCACTCTGATGAGAGCAATGTGCCTATTGCAAGGAGATTGGCCACTTGAAGAATAAATGCCCCTGCAGCAAGGGACCAGCATTGGAGCCTAACAAAATTACTCCAGGAAAGAAGATAGGATAGCAACCCAAACTGGAGGCCCAGGACCTCATTGACCTAGCAGGAATTGAGTCAGACTAGGGAAGACTAGGCTCCTTACTACTATGCCCCCCCAAAGCCCATGGTTGAAATGAGAGTAGGGAGCCAACAAATGATCTTCATGATGGACTCAAGTGCTGTGTATTCCGTGGTCACTAAGCCTGTGGCCCCACTCACTGAGCACAGGACCACAGTAGTCAGAGCTACTGGCACCCAGACTGCCCGGCAGTTCTGCTGACCCTGGACATGCCAACTAGGAGGGCACATGGTGACTCATGAATTCCTGTATTTACCAGAATGCCCAATTCCTCTGCTGGGAAGGGACTTGTTAACAAAGCTTGGAGCCCAAATCACCTTCACCCACGGAGGGCCTGCAAATCTTACCATAAGGGAACCAAATGTGCCCTCATCGTGGCAGTGACCATGCTATGGAAGATGAGTGGCAACTCTATCACCAGGGAAAGGGGGACCTGGTGAAACCCATCTGCCTGCTGGAAGAGTTTCCTGTTGTCTGGGCTAAAAAAGGGCCTCCCAGCCTGGCTCACAACCATGCACCTGTAATGGTAGATCTCAAACCTGGGGCTTTCCCTGTCAGAAAGAGCCAATATCCAGTACAACGGGAAGCACACCTAGGAATTCAGACCTACCTACAGAGGCCGAAGGATGCAGTGATATTGATCGAATGACAATAGCCATGGAACACCCCATTGCTACCCGTCAAGAAGGCAGGAGGAGATGATTACTGGCCTGTCCAGGACCTGCGGGCAGTCAACAATGCCATTATCACACTGCATCAGTAGTTCCCAATCCCTACACTCTCTTGAGCCTTTTACCACCACAACCAAGCTAGTTCTGTCTGTACCTAAAGGACGCTTTCATTTGCCTCTGCCTGGCCCCAATTAGCTGGCCTCTGTTTGCCTTTGAATGGGAAGACCCCCATACTGGAAGAAAATCACAAATGACTTGGATTACACTGCCTCAGTGATTCAAAAAATCACCCACTTTGTTCAGGGAAGGCCTAGCAGTGGATTCGTTAACTTTCCAAGAAGAAAATCCAAGCTATACTTTGCTCCAATATGTGAATGATCTGCTCCTGGCAAGCCATGACCGGGAGAAGTGCTGGGAGGGGACAAAGGCATTTCTAGCCTGACTCTCTGAGGCAGGAAAAAGGCCCAAGTTTTCCAGCATGAAGTCCGATACCTCAGATTCATCATCTCAGAAGGACAGTGTGCCCTGGGTCCAGAGAAGAAACAGGTTATCTGCTCCATCCTTAAGCCAAAGACCAAAAGGGAGGTCTGAGAATTCTTGGGAGCAGCAGGATTCTGTCGCCTCTGGATACCTGGATATTCAAACCTGGACAAACCACTTTACGAGGCCACACAAGCTCTGGGAAGGACCCTCTAAACTGGGGACCAGACCGAGAAAAGTCTTTCCAGGAGATAAAGAGGCTGTTAACCAGCCCCCCTGAGCTAGAGCTGCTACATGTAACATGACCATTCAATCTCTATCTGTGAGAAAAATTACACAGCTCTGGGGGTCCTCACCCAAATGGTGGGTCTGTGGCAATGGCCAGTGGCTTACCTATTGAAGCACTTGGGCCCAGTGGCTTCAGGGTAGCCTCCATGTCTCCAAACCCTGGCTGCTACAGTAACCCTAATTAGAGAGGCTGACAAGCTCTCCCTGGGACAGGATGTTAATGTTAAGGTCCCTTATGAAGTCATGACCCTAATGAATGGGCAGGGTTATAAATGGCTGACCAGTTCCAGAATGGCCCATTACCAAGGACTGCTGTGTAAAAATCCTTGAGTCAGTCTTGAAGTATGAACTTTAAATCTTGCCACCTTCCTGCCCACAGAGGAAGGGCCCCAGATCACGATTGCGAAGAGATGATGGACAAAGTGTACTCCAGCAGGCCAGATCTAATGGGGGTTCCCCTCTTATCTGCAGAACTTGAAGTCTTCATGGATGGAAGCAGCTTTGTCCAGGGCAGACAGCGAAAGGCCAGGTTCACAGTCACCACTGCTAACGACTGTACAGGCTGAACCCCTCCCACAAGGCTGGTCTGAACCATGAGCTGAACTTTGGGCATTGGTCCAGGCATTATGATATGCAAAGGGAAAGCAGGTAAACGTGTATACAGATTTTAAATATGCCTTTGCCACCTTGCACGTGCATGGAGCAATATACAAGGAAAGAGGACTGCTGACAGCAGGGGAAAAAGAGATTAAAAACAAAGAAGAAATCCTCCAACTGCTGGAAACAGTCTGGGAACCTTATCAAGTGGCTGTTATGTACTGCAAAGGCCACCAAAGGGTCCTGGACTATGTCAGTAGAGGAAACTACCTGGCTGGCAAGAAGGGCAGCAGAAGAGATAAGCTCTCCTGAAGTGCCAAAGAAAACCACTAAACTTCTGTTGGCTCTGCAACTGCCTCTCACCCCAAATTATACCAAGGATGAGTAACAATGGGCAAAAGATGAAAAAGGAATAAAAGAAAAGGGAGGCTGGTGGAAGTTGCCTGACCAGAGACTCTTTGTCCCCAGTGCTGTAGCAGCCTCTCTGGTAAAACAACATGAGCTAATGCACTTGGGGAAAATGGCCCTAGAAAAACTATTGGACAGATACTATTTCATTCCCAAGCTCCCCACACTGTTCCCCTAAGTAAGTCATTGATGTATTACATGTGGGCAAAACAATGCCAGTCAAGGGCCTAAGGCAAGCCCTGGGATACAAGCAACAGGCACCAGTCCCTTTGAGGATCTGGGAGTGGACTTCACAGAGATCAAGCCCTGTCATGGATACTGGTACTTCTTGGTTCTTGTCTGCACTTACTCAGAGTGGATTGAAGCTTACCCGCCCACACACAGAGATAGCACGAGAGGTAGTAAAGACCCTTTTAAGAG